CCTCTAGCCAAGTATTGGCTAGAGACTCGAGTAAATCCCTACCACACGTATATGCCCTATGGTGTCTGTGTGAGATATGTAACTCAAATGAAAATGAAAAAATCTCTAATAGATACACACACTCCAATAAACCTACAGATGACTTTTCCAAGAAACTTGAACTTGAAAAACAAAAGTCTAGAAAAAATATAATTTATTTGTGTGGGCGATAATAGGGTGATATTATATTATTCACTTACCACTATATCGATAGAGCCGTTTGCATGCATTAAATGCTGTTACAGACGTGTCTCCGGAATCTGAAGAACTATAACTATGTTCATGATAACCTTAAAGTGATGAGATAAAAGCTATAATGAACGTCAATTCTGACCCGTCGCCATTACTAATACTCGCAGTGCCCGCAGTGCATCATGGGAGTTCCGATCTATAATATTTCTTCTGCCTTTTCCGACAATAAATATTCAATCCTTTATAAACGTTAAACAATATTATATGGATATAAAATGTATTTTCATCAACTATAAAGACCATTCAGATACAAGAAGCCTTTATATTTTGACTCGGGTATCGGCACCAATTTCCAAAATGACACCTGCTTGGAGTGGATATTTATCATCAATATTGATGCATATTTGTCAATGTCAGGGCTGTCAACGGCCGAACGGAATGCCTTCGCTTTTTTTCGCCGTTCGGTATTTTACCATGTCAGCATTTCACATTTCTATTTTTCCAACAAATGCGTGACGATCACGCCTAATGCGTGAGGGTTGACAGGGCAGCAATGTACCCACGGAATTAAACACATTCAGCAAATCGATAAATGAATAAGGAAAACAGCGTTAATATGTTATTTAGCTAGAGTGAGCCCAGTTTTAAAGAGGAAAATCATGAAACACACTATTATCGCCCACATATTTTTACAAATCCCTGGCATTTTGTCATTTGAGATATCTCCTTCATGAGAATTTGGAAAATGCACTGTGCATTTATTGGAGAGAATATGGTATTTACCATTTATTTCACATTCTCATTCAAGACGTGAAGTCGCCATTTTTAGGTTGGCTTTTACTTGACTTTACAGTCGATCCATAGAAAAATGACTAAAAAGGCAAATGTGCTGTATTATGTTTTTAATTCAAAATTGGAATGGTTGAAACCTGTATGTGAACCCCAAATTACAGTTACATGTAAAGGTCAAATGTGTATCTTAAGGTCTCCATTACAGCTAGCAGCAACTCATGCTTTCCTACAATTATGCAACATTATCTTTCTTGAACGTGTTACTAATTAAGCATGAGGATTCGAGTTTTGATCTATTATAGTTTTACTAATACGTCATTTGAGCAGTCTCTTAGTCACATGTTATTACTGACACTCCTGATTGTCACTGCTCAATAAATAGGTAAGACAATACACAGATTCAGTCATTGTAGAACATCTGTTGGCAGCATGCTCTAATTATCAAAATGTGTAAAACTGTTATGCTGAGCAAATGTGGATTACTCAGACACTAATTAAGAATTAAAAGAAGTAGAAGATAAGAAAAGTGTTAAATTCATTGGAAAATGGAAGTTGGAAAATGGAAGATATTGAAACACAGAAGCCGTCCATCCGCTGGGACGGCTGGGACAAAGGAATTGCTCAAGAAGAACTGTTCAATTTGCCACTGAATTTCAAAATGGCTGCCATTTTCAGTAAAAACAGAATCTTTGATAAATCAAATACAAGTGAACAAATTTTGACAGTAGCTCCGCTCAAGAAAGAATTTTCAAGATAGCAGCTGAATTTCAAAGTTGGTGTTTTCTAGTTTTATCATAGGCTATTGAAAGCACATGGTTTTATTCATGGAGAAACTTCTTAAGCAGACTTCTGACGGCATAACTAAATCATTGGCTGAGACAAGCACTTTCAGCATTGAAGTCAAAACAAATATGACTGATATTATCCGTCAACCAAATAAATTTCTATCAACAGAGATTGCAATAGTTTTATTTATACTTGAGTGTATAATAACAGTGTGTACAGTATTGAGTAATGGCTTAGTTTTCTACATTAACTTTAAGTATAAACATCAGCGGACTTTAACAAGTTTGGCGATAGTGAGTCTAGCGATTGTTGACTTTATCACTGGATGTGGAATCCCTTTGGATTGTGTTAGTTCCTACTTACCGACTTTGATACCGACAACTGATGACTTAAATAATCAGATGTGTTTTATAAAGTACCTTATTCTCCAATTTTCATGCCAGCTCTCAATGTTACATCTGACTCTACTGATGTTAGAGCGATATGTTAAACTTGCCTTTACCGATTTTTATAATGCTCATGTGACGAAGCGAACAATGTTAGGAGCTCTGGCGATTCTTTGGTTGTACCAGATATTAGCGACAATACTTCCCATGACCTTAGGGGGATACATTTGGCAGCCAGGTATCCCTTGTCATATGGCTTACGTCTTTGATAAAGAAATATTTCAATTAACGATATCCCAAATCGGTATATGTCTTATCATTGATGTTATTGTGTTCATAGGAACATGTTCTTACATTCGCAGATTGAATCGGATTGTTGAACCTAGTGAAATTGTGAACACATCAAGAGATAAATATCTGACAAAGACAGTCTGCAACATGACTGTCTTATTCTGGTTCAGTTGGCTTCAAGTATTTATTGTTGCTTTATTCGTAAAAGTAGACGTGAAAGGCGGATCATCATATGCTGCTGTAAATATCTCAGTACTTTTTGCACTACTGAATTCATTGGTGAACCCATGGGTGTACATGTTAAGGAACAAAGAGGGGAGAAATATCATCTACAGATTATTTGGACGTCAAATTGAAACAGATGTCGTTAGGGATCAAAGCAATGAAATTGCTACTGTAGGTGCAAGTGTTGACCCTAAGCAAGCTGGTCGCTCAATAGAAGAGCCAGGCAACATAACAGAACTTAAAAACATTGAAGAAGTAATGGATGTTGATAGGGATCAAAGTAATGACATTGTTACTGTATATCCAAGTGTTGACCCTAATCTAGCTGGTCGCTCAATAGAAGAGCCAGGGAACATAACAGAACTTAGAAACATTGAAGAAGTAATGGATGTTGATAGGGATCAAAGTAATGACATTGCTACTGTATATCCAAGTGTTGACCCTAATCTAGCTGGTCGCTCAGTAGTAATGCCAGAGGACATAGAACTTAGATACATTAGGTAATTAGGGATAAATGAAAGCCCAGAGAATGAGATCCAAAGTAGTACTTCGGACCTTTTATAATGGCATAAACAAATCATGTTTTTATATGTCAGAGTTTTCAGTTAGTTATGAGCTCGCGTTTCCTTACTCTTACACCCCAGTCACATTTCCTGCGGCCGCCGTGCGGCCTATCATTTCTGCGGCCAGTCCCCTTCTACGCTCGCCGTAGAATTTCTGCGCTCTCATACTTTTGCAGTCACATTTCCCACGGCAGCCGCACGGTGAATTCTAAATTTCTGTTGATAAATGATTCTTTTTTCATTTTATTTACATCAGGACAATTTTTAAATGTTATTCATAGTGCTAGGATGTAATATCAAATGAAAAGTGATCGTGAAACATTGACAAATAATGATTTAATCTTGTTGAGCCAGTTGATTTCTATGGGGACCTCAGAAATGAACAAATATTAAAACTCCGAGTTATAATTTCTACAGCGACTCTGCGGCCTGTAAAAAACTGGATACGCCGTACGGAGGCCGCAAGGCGAGCGTAGTTTTTCTACGCTCGTCGCAGAAATTCACTGATTTAATTGATCTGTGACGCGGCCTCCGTGCGACAAATGTGACTGGGGTGTTAATTAAATCTTAATTCAATTTCTAAAAAATTGAGATGTCTGATCAAGTGTAGAAGTTACGATTTTGCATAATTCATACATAATAACATTTCTAAAATATTGCTGTTATTAATATGATGTAATATTGTTTTTATTTAATTGTTTTGTAGAGCTTCAGTTCAGTTTTTATATAGTTGAAAAACGTCCTGTTTAGTAAAATAAAGGTTGTGAAAAGAAGAAAAAAATATTTTTTGTGATTTCTAAAATAGTTTAATTGGCCAACTCTATGCTGTGTATAGGCTATAGACACTGGAATATCACACAATCAAATGAATAAATGATGTTTCCTTTTTTCCTTTTCTTGAACATTTGCCCACAGGCCTTTGCCACAGTACAGCAATATTGCAGAATAAAGTTGAAATTTTGAGAAAAAATGGTGTTTGTTTTTAATGACATTGTCCTCATAGAGATTGAACACAGTCTTTCTGGAAGAGAGTGTCTTGAAATAATATAAGAACGGTTAACTCAAGTTCTACTTTTTGAAAGAAGGCATGACATAGAAAACAGATAGCAAAAAATATTTTTCAAAACCTACTCTTAAAGTCTATCCCACCAACTAAAATGCATGAGTCATTCAACAAATACTTTACGAATGCTCTCATTTTCATGTTTATTAAAGGAATATTGCAAGAGTATTGCAAGAAAAATGTGTTTATTTTATAAATACATGTACTGGCTAGTTATCATTATCATGAGTTTACACAAGACATATTGTATTTTCATTCAAATCTATTTTGATGCCTATGGCCATTTATAGCTTATATGGTGAGCTGTTATATTCACTCAATCATCCATCTGTCTGTGTGTCCATTCATCTGTCCATCCATCTATATGTCCAATTGTCAACAATAGCGCAGAAGACCTCAGACCTCCATGTCTCCCAGTCTATTTTTAAAATGGTCCAATAGTGTATTATGAATGTAAAAGTATCCACAGGATGATGTTCAGGGTTTGGCCACTGTAACACGGCATCTTTAACAAATTACAGTGTCTGTAACAAATGTAAGGTGGTGAAATATTGCATGCCTATGGCTTGTTTTATTATACAATTGTTATATTTATGTTAATACTTTATCGTCGTAATGAAATTGACTGATTGGTTTATCACATATTAAACTTTTCTTTTTCAGTCAGATCTCAAGGGGTATCCTAATAACAGACAGCTCTATCCTGCCATCTGCTGGAGATCAGGTAAGATAATTCAAAATTGGCACAGTGATTTTCCATTTTGCGATGAGACTTAATCAAGAAGTAATAAAAAGCAGATTATTGATGTTCAGGAAGGAATAGGGATTTAATCAATATCAGATTCAGTCCTTTAGAATAAAATCCAAATTCCTTTTTTATTATTGAGGTGCCAGGGTACTTAACATGAAAGGTCAAAACAAGAAGTGACAAAATATGCTGCATTTTTAGACAGAATCTTTTGAATTTTTCAGAAATGTGCTCTAAATGATACAATCTTTGAAAGATTGATATCATTTTTGGAAAAAGAAAAAACTGAAAAAAGAACTGATTTGAAAAGTGATCTACTTTCCTTTTTATGACTGCCATTTTTGACAGACAATTTTCTAAAAATCCAAAGATTGTATCAGTTATTGGGCATCAGCATTATATTGGGCACATTTTCTGAAAAATTCAAAAGATTCTGTTCAGTGACCTTTCCTAAGCTCCTACTTCTAGCTATTTTCCAGTCACATTTTCAGAGGGCTAAAAGTTATTTCATCATGTGTAGGGTCATTCTGATCATAAACATTGTGATCCTGGTCATGTAAATGATATGTGGAACTAGTTAAATTGTTTGTAGGTCAAAACAGAACTCTGTTATCTTGGTTCAAAAAATGTCCAAAAATGTAGCATGTTTTGTCACTTCCTGTTTTGTCATTTCCTGTTAAGTACCATGGCACTGAAAGAGGGAACAGTGACCACTGAGTTGAGTCATTTTCATCGATCCTAGGTGTTAATGTTAAAATATAGCGAATATTCAAAACAATTCATCAATGGTTCATCTACAACCATTACCCCTGTACAACCTTCTTTTTGCAAGATATTCATAAACAAATTACTTAAATTTTCTTCTCTGATGAAAATGATAGCCATAAAGCCGATACAGTGGAACATTTTCTCCTGACCGAACAATTTCCTGGCAAAACCAATATTGGATTTAGTTCCTTTTGCATTGAACATTCCATCCAATTGCAACATTCTGTTTGAATATGTACATGTCAAGAAGAACACCCAAGCTCAAAATATTTGGAGTATATTTTTTGGTTTGTATTTTCGATTTTCATTAGTTAGTTGAGCAACCTACAAAATCCAAAAGTGACCGTTGACATGTTTCAATAGACTGCTAACCATGACCATACATATTGTACATGGTCATGCCAGACATTGACATAGTTATGCTGTAACTGCAGTTCTGTCTAACCTTTTTATTATTGCTATTTTGTCATCATCCTGAGCTGATGGGCATCGGGGATGTGAGATGGGGGGCGGGCAAACAGGTCCCATATGAATCTTGTCATCTAAATTCTAGGAAAACCTAGCCTGTTCAACTTCAAAGTTTTGAAGATGCAAGAACAGATTAATGTCAACATCTGATTAGGTTTTTGGCATGCTGGGTAAATAACATGGCGACCATTTTGCTTTTCAAAGTGTGAAATTTATATCACTGAGTATCTTGTTTCTACATATCTGCAGTGAATCTTAAAATTAAAATGTCCACTTTCACACTACCCTACCTCGATCGCGCATGCGCGAATCTTTTGGCTTTCAACCACGTCGCTTTTGAGTATATCGACTGCTTAGTCAAAAGCTTAATACGTTTGGTGCTCGGAGTGAGTCAATATTGCTATTCGCTACACTTCAGTGGTGCAATAGTGAAGTCCATGTTCCAAGTTATATGATAGTTGAAGAAAGAATGTAAATAATATCGTTTAAAATTTTAAAATATTTGATATGTCATAGTACACGGTACACAGTTGCAAAAGTTGATCAATACAGGGTACAAGGAATGTAAATGTTTCAATAGTACAGGGAGCGAGAAAGTAAGCTGATTATACAGACATACTATGTCCCTACCTCATGTACATTTACGTTGCAAACACTGAAAGTAATGCTAAAAAGGCCGCCTGTTGATGCTTTGAGGTGTCATCAATTGTTATTTAATCCAAATAAAGTAAACATTATTTTGTAGATTTAGACACAGGCTTTCAGGTCGTATGCATTTTAGTCATTAAATTAACAAGAACGCTAGATTATACGTTTTACTAAGGTATCAAATTGAAATAAAATAACGAAATTAAATATTAACATCTTAATGATAAATGACTATCCGCTATCAGTATTAATGACTATCTGCTACTCAGAAGAATTAAAATTGCCTGAACTACATGTTAAGAATCTTTCTATAGAACCCCTTGAATGGTCTAATTCACTACCGTCCCCAAAAACCGATCATTCAAAATGTTTTGTTCAAATTCACAAAAATACAGTTGACTAACATACTAGAAAACGTATCCACCTATAACACGACTTATCAATGTAACATTTTCGAAGGGAAACTTACATGCTCCCTGTACGTTGATAGATTTACTGAAATGTATCGTGTATTGCATTCGTGTTTTGCTTCACTGCGCCCACTATTATCTATTTCTGCCTATAGTGGTTTTTTGACAACAATATTCTACACATTGCTTGATGAATCAATTCTATGTCTGGTAGAACACTAGAAATAAATGTAAAATGTATTTTACGTTCAGAAATATGGAATTAAACCCACGCCCTCCATTTGCAACTAAGCTGTATCCTGTTTCCCTTTTAAACGTGGTCACGTGGTAGGGTAGTGTGACTTTTACAATTTCTAACTTCAAACTTGATTTTGAGTGGCAGAGATATATGTGTTGATTTCCATATGTTTTAACAAAATTGATGTCATATGATATTTATCTAAAGGATGGTATGATTGCCCATAAAAGGTACTGAAAGTCTATACTGTCCTCTACTGTTGTTGCTGCTTTAACTAATTGTTCACTTTGTCTTAGGAAATTTTCAACAATAATATGTATCCTTAGGTATCAATTAATAATTTGAGAAAACATTTTGTTTGGTGGGATTTACTGCTCAAAGAAGTTCCTGTTTCTTTGATATTTGATTTTTGTTTGAAATCTGATCACTTATGACGCTGAGAAACAGAATTACAATAGATGAAGAATATTGGAGCTCTTCCATAAACCAGAGAACAAATTAGTTAAACAGTACGTTCTGTTTGTTTGAGTTAAACACCATATAGCCTGTAAAACAAATTAAAAGAAATGTGGATCAGAATGATTATGCTCTGGCTCATAATGAGCAAAGATATTGTTTTAATGAAAGAAGCTAAGAACTTGACAATGCTAGACAGTTCACCGAGAAATTTTGCCCCATCTGGAGAATTTATGAATATTTCAGAAAAGTATTTGGATAACACTATATTGACAGAGGTCAAAATGACTCCAGCAATGGCTACTGCTAATCCAGATGAAACTGCGACTTTTAATAATTCATCTTTTACAAATGCGTCACTGAATTTGAAAGGAGTACGACCCAAGTTAGGAGTAACTGAGATGATCATACAGACAGTTTTAGAATTCTTTATTGCGCTGGTTATATGTTTGAGTAACATTGTTGTTCTACTTGCGGTATGGCATCAGAGAAGTCTACACACTGTGACAAACATGTTCATTGTAAGCCTCAGCATATCAGACCTCTGGATGGGATTCCTTGCAAGTCCTTTGGCAATCATAGAAAACTACATCATCCCGTTGATATACGGCAGCCATGTGCAGAATAAATGGCTATGTGCATTCAAACTATTCAGCCTGACGACCTCTGCAGGTGGCAGCCTGTCAAGTTTGTTTGGTATTGCAGTTGATCGCTATATCGCTGTAATGCGCCCAATGAAATACCATACAATGATGACTCGCACAAGGGCTAATGTGTTCATTTGCTTCATGTGGCTTATTGTGTTTTCCACCTCTGTCCTTATCTTCAATCCAAATGTTCTGATGTTTGAGCCACAAGATTTGTGCCAAATTGATGAGGTTCTCAATGAAACACACGAAAACTCCCTGAAAGTTTTTGTTGCACTTAATTTTGTATCAACTTCATCATTGCATGTCATAGTGTCCTTGGTAGCTTTGAAACACCAGAAAAGAATCACAGCAGAATTGGCAGTCTTTAACAACAACATGGCTGTGGCATATCGCAAGGGAAATCGGATCACAAAGACAATATTTCTAGTTATGGTTGTTTTTGTGCTCTTTTGGTTACCCTGGGTTATTTTGTATAGCATTAATTTAGAAGAGGAGCCAGCATGGTTCACATCTTTGAAGAATGCAAGTGTTACCCTTTACGCATCAAGCAGTGCAGTGAATCCATGGATTTATGCGTATAGGTCTAAAGGTATCCGACAGGGTATGTGGAACATCATCAAGTGTAAATGGAAACAACATATTGATATGACAATATGACTACGGTTAAGTCAACCCCAAGTCAAATCAATCAGTTGAAATATAACTAAAACCATGCATTCCTTTTCAATGTCAATACTGTTTTGTTTAGCATTAATCTGAAGTTTGAGCCAGCATGGTTCATATCTTTGAAGCATGCAACTGTTACCCTTTACGCATCAAGCAGTGCAGTGAATCCATGGATTTATGCGTATAGGTCTAAAGGTATGCGACAGGGTATGTGGAACATCATCAAGTGTAAATGGAAACGACATATCGATATGACTATATGACTATGGCTAACTCAACCCCAAGTCAACTCAACCAATGTTATACCAACCCTTGGTCAACTGAGCCCTCCTCAGTTAAAATGTTTCCCATCGATTGCTGCAAGGTTTTACATCATCATTCGAGAGAGCAAAACATTTGTGCACATTTGTTTGATTTAATGGTGTAACAATCTGTTGCCAAATGTTCACTCATAGGAGTGATTTAGCCGAATCAAATGGGGATGATGTTTGTCTTCTGCTAAACACAATTTTACATAATATAGACACCTAATGAACAGAAATGTTGAATTTTGATACAATTCAAATATTTAATGTCATCTGACATTGTAACACTTATATATAAATATCCTGCATTGTCCCTTTACTTATAGATGAGGTGAATTCTGTTTGAAAACATATACTGTATTTATGATATTTTGGAAATGCTCGTAAAATGTGATATCTGTGGAATGCTTGAATATTCCATCCATATTGCACTGATCTCACTTTTTTCCATGGATTTTAAAATTCCCTCCAATGTGACGCATTTTGTTGCATGGTGATTTCATGACATCATGTGATCATGATAAATGTAAAAAGTTGAAATGACGAAATAGAACTGAATGTTGTTTTGAAATGCTTGGTTTAGTTGTACAGATAAACTACAGTATGAGATTAATATTTTTGATATCAATATCTGCGCTCATTTTCTACTTTCACTCATCCAGAAATTGATATTAACTTGTGGATAAAAATGATTTCACTCAATTTCATAGGATATTACCTATACATATAGCTATGAATTCTAAGACCTGCACCCTTGACCTACAGGGTGACCAAAAATATGGCTTATAGGTAACAGGGATATTATTTGTTTTGACCATGAAATCTCAACAGGAATGGAATGGATAGTTACATTGTAAACACACCTGAAAAACACTGTAAAATGAATAAACTTATGATAAAGTATACTGTGTGCCTATTCATTTAGCAATTCAATAGTAAATTTTCTCCTGAAAAAATAAATCTTCTAGATTTGTTGAATTTTCCTACAGAAATAACCATATCCCCTCTTCATTCATTTTGTAAACAGTTGGGGAGTATTGGACCAAATCTTATTTTTCAGATTCGACTTGCATATGAACACTTTTATAATTTTTATGTCACCTCCAGAAGTTGTAACAAATTTTTATAGTCTCCAAATTTTTTGTGGATGTGTTTGGTGGTCAGCATTAAGCATTCCCTGTCACTAACAAATGGCAGTGCCAGTTGGTGACATTTTGCATGTAATACCTAGTTATTATGGCTATAAAGAGTGATGGACAGCATAGATTAAATACAACTGTAAAAGCCCAAATTTTCAAGGTGTCCTAATTTTCACTATTTTCGCTGAAGAGGCTAGACCATGAACTTAAAGGCACAGTGAAAATTTGATTTAACATTGAATTCAATTGGATATTTCCTCAAACAGTGAAATTTAATGCCTTTGAAACATTTCAGATTGACAAAATAGTGTAATTTTTTGTCAGCAAAAAATCTGGACTTTTACACTACATATTTTACTTTTGAAGTTATGGTAAGTTAAATGTTCCTTCCTTTGTTTAGATCTCCCTGCTACATCTGCCCCCAAGTGAGCAGCACCCCCACCCCATCACAGTACTAGAGCTGTCTCCCACTTCTATGGCTTGTCCTGAAGGATTGCGTAAGTACAGTGAATTTTTTATTTTTTTTATCTACATGTATAATGTTAATTTATTTTCATTATCATATTGAAACCATAATTATTTACGATTACTTTACTTTTTATGCAATGGAATGTGAATTATTTAAAAATTCATCTGTTAGAAAATCAAAATTCACATGCAAGACCATCAGTCTTGTCACATGTTCAACTCTGGCTCTTCATGTACATCGCACATATATGCCGTTTATCTTTGACTTATGTTTTTAAACATTGCCCTGTGTGTTTATCTTTGTAGATGTTGTACATATGACATCAAGATCGAGTAAAAGTGCTTCAGAAGACCTTGCATATGCAGTGGATCTAATCTTCACAGGAAACCAAGGTATGTTCTTGTAATTTCTTCTATTTTAGATTTGTGAAGTTATGAATCTGGGTTGCATTTTTAAAGAATAATTAGCTATGAATATTCATAAATCTATTGTTGTTTACTTGACATCATAGTTAAAGAAAAACAGATTTCTGAATTCCATTTGCAAAATGGATCTGAAATATGAATCCCTCATTTTACACATTTCAAGGAATTGACCTTCAAGGTTGATTTCTATAATGGTTGTGTGTCGTCATTGTATTGTTAAAAGAGTTCATACTGTTGTTTTTCTAATATGAATTCCTTATTTTACACATTTCAAGGAATTGACCTTCAAGGTTGATTTCTATAATGGTTGTGTGTCGTCATTGTATTGTTAAAAGAGTTCATACTGTTGTTTTTCCTATATGAATCCCTCATTTTAAACATTTCGAGGAATTGACCTTCAAGGTTGATTTCTATAATGGTTGTGTGTCATCATTGTATTGTTAAAAGAGTTCATACTGTTGTTTTTCCTATATGAATTCCTCATTTTAAACATTTTGAGGAATTGACCTTCAAGGTTGATTTCTATAATGGTTGTGTGTCATCATTGTATTGTTAAAAGAGTTCATACTGTTGTTTTTCCTATATGAATCCCTCATTTTAAACATTTTGAGGAATTGACCTTCAAGGTTGATTTCTATAATGGTTGTGTGTCATCATTGTATTGTTAAAAGAGTTCATACTGTTGTTTTTCCTATATGAATTCCTCATTTTAAACATTTTGAGGAATTGACCTTCAAGGTTGATTTCTATAATGGTTGTGTCATCATTGTATTGTTAAAAGAGTTCATACTGTTGTTTTTCCTATATGAATCCCTTATTTTACACATTTCAAGGAATTGACCTTCAAGGTTGATTTCTATAATGGTTGCGTCATCATTGTATTGTTAAAAGAGTTCATACTGTTGTTTTTCCTATATGAATCCCTTATTTTACACATTTCAAGGAATTGACCTTCAAGGTTGATTTCTATAATGGTTGTGTGTCATCATTGTATTGTTAAAAGAGTTCATACTGTTGTTTTTCCTCGTATCAAATCTGCAGCCTTCTCACCAATCATGATAGATGGCGCATTAGTATTTCCAGAGATGACGAATGGCATGATTGATGCATCCGCTACCCTCAGATTTTCAATTCCTTTCACTCTGAAACAAATAAATAACTAGTATTAGTGCAATAATAACATTAAAACAACTCTACCATATGTTTTATGGGTATAGCCTTGATAGCCTATCAAGTTACATACTTATCAGGGGCAGGCCCGTAGCCAGGATTTGCCAAGGGGGGTTCACTTTTCAAAAATTTCGAAGGGGGGTTCACATTTGACAATTTTGACACAAATATGGCTAAAATCACTTGAGAAGTGCTCAAAATGATGAAAAACTGCATGATTTTGAAAGAATTTTTGGCCAGGGGGGGGGGGGCGAACTTACCCTGGCTATGGGCCTGGGGGGGTTTCACTAGAATTTCTCACAACAGGCTAAATAAATGAAAACAATAGGCAAAATTAATGCAAATCATAAATGAAAAGTAACAACAGGCGATTTGTGAAAACAACCGGTGAAAATCGCCTGCTGCCTGCTGCTAATGAAACCCCTGCTTGTATTGAATTTCTAGAACATGAAATATGTCCTCAGTCAGTCTGAGCAAATAAAATTAATGCAATTTTATAGATCTGAATACCTTAATTGTGGATCAACAACAGAGTTGTTGTCAGATTCAGGGCCCATCTTGCAAGTACTTGTAGGATGGTATAAATGCAGAGGGGTTGCACGAATATAACACTCCCAGTATGGATCACTATTAAATGCATGTGTAGTACATAATGGGTGATGTTTAGTACTCATTTGAAATCCCCCATCTTTAAATGCTTGAGTTTTAGGAAGTGTTTCAGTCATCACCTTGATTCCTATAAAAATAATTGAATGTCAAAATGTACTTGACTCTATCTGCATAAATGTACCTCTTATGGCTCAAATGGTCAGTGGTGAATGAAATTACTCATTTGTCCGGCACCATGATACATCATCATGCATATAGGACCACATTAGAGGACTTTGAAATAAAATGATCAAACTCAAAAAAACCTTAAAGCCCTCAAATCTTAACTGCCCTGTATTTCCCCCATTATCACCCCAGTTCAGACTCCTCCCCCTTCCACCCCTCTTTAACTTTGGTTCTTCTGCCAGAGTGCTTATAGTGCCCATATGTACAAGTTGTTTAATTTATACCTTCTACTAAATGTTTCACATCAACTGGATCCTTCAGGTATTTTTGGTCAATCAGGGGATGATCAAATGGGTCAGTAGATCTCAATCTAATGGTCCCATTACTACCTGGGTGAAGTAGCACAACAACAAAGGAGATACCCATCTTGCCTTCAAACTCATTATCTATCCAAGCCTGTAAATTAATAATGGCAAGTTTGTTTTAAATTTGTTTTTTTACAATCATGAATTTATCACATTTAGTGAAAATGACTGGCATTCACATTTTACTCAGTTAAGGAGGAATGAAATGTAAAGTGATATCAGAAAATGTTTTATCCGCTACTTGTGAGAAAGTAAAAACTCGGCAGCGAGGTTTTTTATAATTAACGGTTGTTACTATTTGTTAAAAGAAAAAATTTAGCCTTGCAATGCAATTTCAGCTGTCCACATAGAGATCATGTAGATCAATGTGTACCTCATCACGGATCCCTAATATGTCTTTCCATATATCTCCAACTAATGCTGGACTGATTAAAATTTGTATATATGGGAATTTGTGGAAAGCTGGTTGATGTGAAGTCCTCATATAGTAAAGCATATCACCCATAGTTCTCCTCCTAACACCTAAGAATATTAAAATTATTTTGACGTATTATAACACAATAGTGTTGAGGTTAAAAACTATGATAGTACCATTCACTGTTGAACAGTGACATATTGTAACACAACAGTGTTGAGGTAAAAACTATAATAGTCCTATTCACTGTTGAACAGTGACATATTGTAACACAACAGTGTTGAGGTTAAAAACTATTTAGTCCCATTCACTGTTGAATCTTTATAAATTATCTCATTTAAAGAATTCAGTAATGGAGTGAAATGTCTTAAGAAACCATTGAATCATTATTTTGTACAACTATTTTGAAAAGTAAAACTGACCTGTCCCAAACAAATAATATTTCAATCTTTCTTGCCAGGAGTTAATGTCTTCCTCTGTTATTGTTTGAGCTTTAGTGAGGAAGTTGATATGCTGAGCTGCAATATGGTCTTGTAAATTCTCCCCAACTGGCAAATCTGCGACCACTGGGATCTAGGAGAGGATAACACCCATGAGTTTCATCTGTACCAAAACCTTTTTTTTAAAGAAATATCTAAGTTGTCATTATTATTGCATGTTAATATTCTTAAGCATTTCAAAAGTTTAGCACATACAAAAACTTATTTGATGCACATCTACCATAATCATTTAAGTTGTGACCAGCCACTATTTTTCGACAATTTGGTCGAATTTCATTTGACGACTTCAAATAATATGAAATGAAGTAATATAAATTGTAATCGCGAGCCCTATCCCAAGTCCTGTGAGGTAGTGTGACGTTTTTGTGTAAAGAAAATTTCAGTACTACTTACATATGTATTTATATTTTGAAAAAACTCTAATTTTAAGAAAATGACACATACACAATGTGTTAAGGTCTCTCAATATTGAAATTAAAGGAAAGTTTGGTTCATTTAAAAAAGTATCTTGACAATTTTGGTCCAAAAATGGCCAAAATAAACACTTAAAAAGTGCTCAGAATTTTCTGATTTCTGATACTTCATGATTTTGAAAGATTTTTTGGCCAGGGGGAACCAAACCCCCCCCCCCTGGCTACAGGCCTGAATTTATAAGGCTGTAACATACTCACATTCATTGCCTCCAAATGGTTCTTTGGTCCAATACCAGAAAGTAAAAGAATATGCGGTGATCCAATAGCACCGGCAGAAATTATCACCTCTTTTCTTGCATTCACTTTTCTCTTTACCAAGTCCCTGATGAATGCCACGCCAACAGCCTTTTTTCCTTTTAGAAGCACCTAGATACAAAATGGAAAAAATTAGGTATAGGTTTCACTGAATGGTTATAGTGATAGATGGTGTCGTCACTGTTTCCAGGAAGCATATGATTTGGGATTTTATTCTTTTCTTTGTCATTTTTTTGGTGTCTAGGGCATGATACTGCAAAAAACCTTACTTTAGTGACATGAGCCTTTGTCGCAATATGCAGGTTATCTCTGTGCATAACTGGATAGAGAAAAGCAGTTGCAGTACTGGATCTTTCTCCTTTACTGTCTACAGTCACTTGGTTGAAACTCATACCTTGATATAATAAATACACAAATAAACCCTTGGAATACACTGCGAAAATAATGACTGGCTGGGTTCAACAGTGTGACTGGTCCAGTTCATCATTTTTTTTTCACCCATAAATAAAATGTTGTAACAATGCACTGTAAAATTGGCTCATAATGTCTTGTTAAAGTGTGCGCCCGACCCGGCTACGTATAGCACAGAGTTTATACTGGCGGATTAGACTAGTTCATTTTTTATATGTGTGTGAAAGCTTTCTCTTATTTGCGTTTTTTAGTTTAGTACGGTTTTGTTATAATTGCCGAGGTCATATAACCGGGATAAAACAATGATTATCGTTGACTGCCCACACACAAAACATACGTTGAGTGAACAGTGTTATTACAAACAACAGGCTTTAGAATACAAAGCGTAGTGTGATAATAAGCTGCACACTACCACTGCTGCATGTACATATTACTAATTTACTAGGGCTCCCAAAGAGTGGATAGGGAGGTTGTGTTTGTCACTTTTAAATTTTACATTTCAAAATTGTCATTTTACATGTCATAATTTGTTGGTTTCATTCGTTTAGCCAATCAAAACATTGTAAAACAATAAATTGTCTGTTACGTACAATCAATTTTGTTCAGTTTTGATTAGTTGTCAGAATAAAGTTACGTTCATCTGAATCCATGTATGAAAACAAAAATCCTATTTTCACTTCAAAATACTTCAGTGAGATGAAGGCTCGGAATTGTCACATGCAATAACTTATTGTCGTATTCGTTATTTTATCTTCTCGATAGTAGCATTTAGTCGCACATTTGATGCCAGGTCACCTTGTCGCGTACCTCTTGGGGAACCCCACATTTATGTGTGTACTCATGGAAGCAAATTCCCCGGTGTAGCCGAGAGCCACAAACTTTTCAACAGGTTCGAAATGACCAATTTCTCTCATATATACTCTAAATATTTTATTATTTAGCACCTACAAAGTATTGCTAATAACCATATGTAATTTCAATAAGGAAACTTATCTGGCTACATATAAATTCAATATCAACACTAGCTGTTCTCTCAACACGTCCTGGCTTACCTTGTGGTGACAAACCCTGGGTTTTCGCTATTTATAGTTTATCAACACCTGGACGCATGCGCATTTTATACTTTATCGGGCACTTTAAGACCGAGCCACAATTAGAATTAAAATTAATAAATAAATTACCCAGGGTGCTAAGAAAACTAAAAATACATCCTTCAGACCATTCTTGTATGAATGAAGTCAAACATCCCTGGTCATTTTTTTCTTGCCAAGAATGCCTTATTTGCAACACCAAAATGAAGTAACAGCATATTTTTACAATAATGATATGTATTGTTATTGGAGATATTACGGTAAAGATCACTGAAATAAAGCAAGGATTTTGCAAGAATCTAACTAGACAATATTGACAGTGATTAAAGAAATCCCCAGCAGAGCCCCGAATCGAATGGATTATTTTCCTCGATTATCCTCAATATTTCTTCTAGAGACTGTTGAATATTGATCTAAAGTTTTACCTTATCTTTTTAATTTAATGATTGATCATCTCTCCTCGTGTAAAAGTTGTGTTTAAGTCATGAGATTAAGGAGAAATGTTAAGAAGAAACTTGAAAGGTCATGACCCTTATGTGCACAGGAAATCTCCTTCATTCATTATGGTTATCTTGAGATAATATTAGTTAATATGATGTGGGAAGCACCCAATGATAGATATTTATCGGGAGGATGCATCAAATTACAAAATGTGTCACGTTTACAGCAGTTTAGTGTAAGATCAGTTTTATCACCCACTTAAATTTCTTTGGTGGGCGCTAATTACAGAGAATACGGTAATACATATTTAAAGAATTGACAAAAGTTGTCCCATTGTTTTATGGTTTTGGTCATGAAAATGATTATTCATACATTGTGGTTGAAAAGATTATTTTGGACGTTTCATTTTCCTTTGACACGTTTAAGTTGTTTCCATATTACGCATACATATTTGATCCATATTGACTCAACCATGTAACAGTTATTAGTTACTGTATTTGAAAGGCTGTTTAACCTAGTTGTTCTTCTCCATTGAAATCCTTGGATATTTCAAGGCCTGCTTCAACTGCTGCTTTGTGTACATACTCTGTTCCCTCTAGTCTAAGTACAGGAGATACTTGTAGAGGTCCTGAGTTGCCATGGTATTCTGTTATAAAAAATATGCACAGTATGAATTAACCATCATTTCTTGGGTAAATGTTAAGGCAGCCAGTTTTCCGTCTTAAAATCTTGTTTGTTGAGGCTTGTCTACAGGTTTCCAGCCAAACCGTTTCATGGATTGATCTAAAATTTTAGGGAAGTTTCGATTGAGATCTGATTTGTTTTTGGGCATTCAGGGTAAATGTTAAAGCAGCCATTTTGGACTTTCCATCCTAAAATCTTGTCTTTCGGGGATCTTGGATTTATCTGAAATATTTAGGGATGTTTCTTGGTATGAGCTGATTAGTTTTGGATATTGGAACCCTCTTTCAAGTAAAATCCATGTTAAAAATGGGAAAGGACTAGTCTCGGTTTGGAGAACGAAGTTTATCAGTCTACTGCACGTTACGCCTGCTTTGGACAATTTTGATATTTTTACATTTTGAAGATTTAAATGTCCTCTTTTCAATATTCATAATTTTATTATGTTTTTCATAACAAAATTAGTGCAGTTAAAGAGTTATGAGCTTTGTTCTCCAAACTGAGACTTGTCATTTATTGAGACGGTCTACTGCACGTTATGCCTGCTTTGGTCTCCTTTTGAATAATTATAATTTAATTTGGGTGTTATTTCTATATTTTTCATGAAAAAATTATTAGCCCATTCTCTTTTTTAGACTTTTCTCTAAACCGAGACTTAAATTGTCCTTTGACAGAGTAATGATATCATATTTTACAAATGGATATTATCATATTTAAAAATTAATATTATCATATTTTACAAATTGATATTATCATATTTTACAAATTGATATTATCATATTTTACAAATTGATATTATCATATTTTACAAATTGATATTATCATATTTACAAATTGATATTATCATCTTTTACAAATTGATATTATCATATTTTACAAATTGATATTATCATCTTTTACAAATGGATACAATCATATTTTACAAAGTAATGTTATCATATTTTACAAATTAATATTATCATGTAAACTTAAAGTATCTCTCGAAATTCTCTTTTCAGTAGATATTGTAACATTGCTTAATAAAATGAAAATTTAAGTTTTCTTACTTGATTTCTGTAAATCTGGGTCTAGTTGTGTTTGAGATTTCTTAAAGTAAGGAAGCACATCCTCATAACTCCATCCAGTGTTGCCCATCTCTGCCCACATATCATAGTCATGCTTGCTGCCTCTTACATATGCATGAAAGTTAATTGAACTGGTTCCTCCAAGCACTTTGCCTCTCGCTATATTTTGCACCTATAAGTCAAAAATGACGCATTAATTTCTGTTTTACTATGTCACCATCAAAAAGTTGTGACATATTTTAGCTTTAACAGCAGATTATAAAGATAATGAAGAATCATGGGGCCAAACCAATGTAACAACCAAGTACAAATGCTTTAATAATGGCTGTGTGAATGGTCTTGCTAAAACATAAGGAAAATAAATTGCATAATGAGCACCACATTACTTTGACTTAGCTCTTTACAGGCAAATCCCTGAATCTTTCACACAGACTAGAAAGTGAACTTATGTAACTTCATTTTCTAATGCGTTTCACATTTACGCTCTGTTTTTTGGGCCCAAACATTTTGTAGGGGCTCAAAAAAGGCCTTTGGGGGCACAATTTGGCCTTTTTTGGACCTTTTTAGGCTACATTATCAAAAATGGGCCTTACACTTTCAAAATGTAAGCCCAATTTTTGGTTTTAGGGGCCCAAAAGTTTTTACAGTGCAAGCTAGCAATATTTTTTTCTTGTTTCTTGACTTAGAATTTGGGCCCCGTCCATGTTAGCCTCTGAATCCGCCAGTGATACATACATTAGGTTTAATATGTAAACCTATGAGGAAAAAGACTGGTCCTTATGTTTATTAATTTGCAGCTGTTGAAAAGCTGTTTAACCTTGAAACTCTCCCTGAGATTATGCTATGTGCAATGATAGTACCCCGGACAGGTTGAATGATGCAGTCTTGTTTTTACTCTACATGTATATTTGCAATGGAACAACCATTTTTATTGAAATTTTTATTTGAAGTTTTATTCTCGAGACAATTTCCAAGATGGAAAATAAACATTTTATCAAAATTTCCAATTTAATGATTTTGACAGGCTTTTTTCAAAAACACTACACTGTCAAGTTTTTGCTTGAACAATTGAACTTTTAACGTCATTTCAAATATTGTCTGGCTATTGTATAACAATAATCAGCCATAATTAATATGGCATCAAATACATCTGGAAAGACTTTAGGCGGCCAAAAATTGAATAGCTAGACAATCTTTGAAATGACGTTAAATGTTCAATTGTTCAAGCAAAAACCTGTATTTTGTTGACAGTGGAGTGTTTTTGAAAAAAGTATCATAAAACTAGGAATTTCGTTAAAATATTTTTTTCCATTCTGGAAATTGTCTCCAGAATAAAATATGAAAATTTCAATAAGAATGGTTGTTCTATTGCAAATATAGAGAAAAACACGACTGCATCATTCAACCTGTCCAGGGTACTATATTAACTTGAAATAAGTGTATTCATAAACAGCATTCAAATGAGTTTAGAGAGCATGGTAACCTGTTCAAGTTAGGTATCATATGGCTCTCACCAACATGTTAATAGGTTGCAAGGTTTCCTAGCTAATATTGTACCCAATGTCAACTGGCCTTTTAAAGGGTTACGATAAGCTTCCCGTATAAAAACAATATGGCAGCTCAAGGCATGTGTACTGGATCAGCCTATTCTGAAGAAGGGAAGTTTTTTAATTTCCATTTTTTGAAATCGTCTTGAAGATAAAATGAGTTTACAATAAACTTTGAGAAAGTGAATTATACAAAGGATGCATAAGCATCAGCCAATATGAAGCCTCATGCAAATCCAAATGACCTTGTTTCACTTACAGTACATTTCATAAGACCATGTGTTGTGCTAATACATGATAGGTAAATCTAGATATCAGTTTTCCCATTAATCACAAATAAAAGATCCTGAAATTTCACCAATAAAATGTGACATTGATTTGTCAATATAAAAATCTCTCTTTGATAAATCCGCGACAATCTATATTATACATGTGGCACAAAAACAGGCAGAGGTCATTACACAGTGACTTCATCCTGCGCCTTTTATATTAAAAGGTGCGCAACACCACAAACAAGCGTTTGATTTGCTAGACAATAAGCACTACCCTTTAAATTATTTGTGGGCCATTTTGAATAAAAAGTGCAATTTTTATCACGATTTTTTCTTTTCTTTAATCTATTGAGTGAAGAATCTAAATACTGAATCTTTAAATCCTTGACAGCAGTGATTTTGGGGTGTTGACTTATATTGCCAGTCTATCCGAGTGCCTAGGTTGAATAATGCTCCTATGGGGAGAGCAGTTGTAGGGTACCATGCATCTCCAGCTTCTAGTAAGAGCACACTAGTGTTGGGATCCTCTGACAGTCTGTTAGCTATCACTGCTCCTGCTGAACCAGCTCCAACTAAAACATATTTATTTACTTACAATTAAAATTAAGAAATACAATAACATGCTGATGAATGTTTGTTAAACAACTGCTTATTCTGAACCCCATTTGGACCAGCCATGTGAATATTAGGTTTTTATACTTTTTAGGAATCTTTAACAAAAGAGCTATTCAAAATAGCAGGTGTTCAACATTAAAATCTTTATCAAATTAGCTTTTCAGAATAGCAGGTGTTCCACATTTAAAGGCTTCTTTATTTTATGAAATGAGCTTTTCAGAGTAGCAGGTGTTCCACATTTAAGGGTTTCTCTATCAAAATGAGCTTTTCAGAGTAGCAGGTGTTCCACATTTAAGAGTTTCTCTATCAAATGAGCTTTTCAGAATAGCAGGTGTTTCACATTTAAAGGCTTCTTTATCAAATAAACTTTTCAGAATAGCAGGTGTTCCACATTTAAAGGCTTCTTTATGAAATGAGCTTTTGAGAATAGCATCTGTTCCACATTTAAGGGTTTCTCTATCAAATGAGCTTTTCAGAATAGCAGGTGTTCCACATTTAAAGGCTTCTTTACCAAATGAGCTTTTCAGAATAGCAGGTGTTCCACATTTGAAGGCTTCTTTATGAAATGAGCTTTTCAGAATAGCATGTGTTCCACATTTAAGGGCTTCTCTATCAAATGAATGAGCTTTTAAGGATAGCATGTGTTCTACATTTAAAGGTTTCTTTATCAAATGTGCTTTTCAGAATAGCATGTGTTCCACATTTAAGGGCTTCTTTAACAAAGAAGCTATTTGGAAATCAGGGAGAACCGAGTAAAGATGTTCATATTGAGAGACGTTCGAAATACAGAGATATCAAGATATCAAGATTTTACTATTCAAACAAGATATCATTTTCTCATGACAAAGATACAGGCATCTTTACCCCATGCAACATATTGACATTTTTCATCCTAAAAAGCCACACGTGCAAGATAAGATTTACTTATGACATCACAGGTGTATAAACATCATCAACATGACAATGAATACACTGTTGCTAGAGTCAAATAGTTATCATAAATATATTTTATGACAAAATGAATGCCAGCAAAATTAGCTGAATATGACCTTCACTTTTATCTGTGATAAAGATAAAGACATGTACTGTATAGTACTAGATATTGAAGTGATATTAAGCTTACCTATTACATAGTCATATTCCTCTTCCAGAACATCCCTTATCATAGAATCAATGTCTAAATTTTCTTTTGTGAAATACAGATACACAGCTACAAGAGCAATGACAGCTGATAGCTTCTGCAACATTTTCTGCTTATGTAATTGTGGAGCATACAAACAAGGCAGACAAAATCCTAATGTTTTATATGTCTGGTATAAGGGTATGTAGTGCAGAGCGAACAAGAGGTTAAACTTTAACCTGGTCTACTTAAAAGACTGAAATAAATTATGTGTTTTGTTAGGTTCCAGCTACCATCTAAAAAGTATTAGTTTAAAGGCCTCATGCAAAGTTTGAAAATATGTTTTTATCATTTATTATGGTTGGTGTTCAGCATTCAGCAATCAGTGTCTGTAACAATTGGCAGGTGGTGACATTTTGATCCAGCGATGTTGACACTAAGCCTCGTTTTGAGTCTGAAGTAGCAAAAATCCATAGTTCATAGCATACGGCGCCGTATGTCATGGCTTAAACACTGTATGCTATGGTTAAGGGAAAATTTGTCAAAAATATCATATTTTACCACTGATTACAAAAATTCAGTTCTTATTTTGACATGTTATCTTATAAATATCATGCTAACTATGGAATAGTATATAATATGTCATTTCACCTTCCAGAGAGAGGCCAAGATATTACTTATCAAAATCTTGATTTTGTTATTATGCCACCCCCGAAAAGTGGTGACATATTGTTATGGTCTCCGTATTTTTGTGGCGCCGATGGCGGGTGGCAGTTGGCGTCTGTAACAAATTCTTAAAACTTCCAATAACTTAACAAAAACTGTTTTTTTTTCAAAATTGTCTACAAGTTTTCAGAAGTTCAAATCTGACTTTATATTTAGGATTTGACCTTCAATGATCTTTTCAAGGTCAAAAAAGGTTAACAAATGTCAAAAAGGTATTTTTTCGACTTGCTTCAAATCAACCAATTTTTTCAAAATCATCTACGAGTTCTTAAAAGTTCAAATCTGACGATAGATTTGAGCTTCAATGACATTCTCAAGGTCAAAAAACATTTGACCTTCAATGACCTTCTCAAGGTCAAAAAAGGTATTTTTCAACTTGCTTCAAATTGACCAATTTACTGTAGGTGGTGACATTTTGTCATGTTAATTGTATAAAATATGACATTTCAGCTTCAAGAGAGAGGCCAAGATATTATTTATCAAAATCTTAATTTTGTTATTTATAATCTATCATTTCAGCTTCAAGAGAGAGGCCAAGGTATAACTTGTCAAAATCTTAATTTTTTTGTTATATTAAATGCGTCATTTCAGCTTCAATAGAGAGGCCAAGATATTACTTATCAATTTCTTAATTTTGTTATTTAAAATATGTCATTTCAGCTTCAAGAGAGAGGCCAAATATCTTGTGGAGTCTTTTCTTCAACCAGATTGAGCGTGGGGACAATGCCAGTAGTGACGTCACCCCCGAAAACCTTCTTCTTGTATCTGGACCAAATTCAGACATGGACTATGAGCAATCAGTTCTTCAAGTAATGATACTTTGATAATATTTTCTGAATTGGAGAATAGCAAATTTAATCATTGAGAAGGCAAATAGTATATCATGTAATTGCATGCTTCACTAGTTAGTGATAATGAGATTTTAGACAGTGTACATTACAAGCCTCTATTTTATGTGAAAAGACTCAAATGCATTACAGGGCAAAATTGTATGTGGACAGGCCTACATAATCACACTACTATACCTAACACCTAGAAATGCATAAGATACTTTGTTTGTCTAATTGTATTGTTTAGTATATTTTTGAAAGTGCCTTAGTAACATCTCACATTCAACTGATAAACCATTCATAAGGAGCAGACAAATAAGAACAAATACATAATCATTACTAATAAGCCAAATGGATTGCTCATGAACACCAAATGCAAGGTATAATAGAGTGATAATACATGTAATACATGTAATATGATGTGTAGAAAACAAAATTTAAGTTTGCAAGCCTTTATTGTAAGTATGCAAGCCTGCATTGTATATACCGTATTCTCTGTAATTAGCGCCCAGGGCGTTTAGAAAATTGAAAATACATTATTTAGACCATTCTAATAAGCGCCCATGTATGAAAGAAATCAGAAATCCCGAGGAATTTCATGTATGGCAATTTTTCTTGACAAGAATGCATTTTCTTCAACATATTTTTATAATAATATGACAAGTGCTGTTATTGGAGAGAATACGGTAAAGATCGCTTAGACAATATTGACAGTGGTTGAAGACCCGTCTATGTCTAATTTATTTCCGGCACGCCCACTTTGTCATTATCGCCGATTACCTTCAATATTTCCACTAGAGACTGCTGGATATCGATCTAAAGTTATACATTATTTCTAATTTGATGAGAGATCATCATTATTCGTGCAAAAGTCGTGTAAAAGTCGAGAAACATTAAAAAGAAACCAGAAAGTTCACGACCTTGACATGCGCAGAACATCTGCGCAGTAGCTTTTGAAATTTCTGAATGCCGATAAAGAACAATTCCTTCATTCATTATGGACTATTTGGAGACAATATTAGCATGGTATGGTGTGGGAAGCACCCATCGATAGATATGTATCGAGAGGATGCATAGAATTACAAAACGCGTCGTGTTTACAGCAGTTTTAGGGTAAGTACTCTATTATCGCCCGCTCCTGGATTTTGAGAAATATTTTTTTCCTGATATATTCTTCAATTCTTGTTGATTCCTCGATGTTTCTTGAACTTTGTGAAGCGGGGTGGGCGCTTATTAGAGAGTGGGCGGTAATTACAGAGAATACGGTATGTACAATTAATACTACATTTTTGGCCATTGAAAGATTGTCAAATGCTTGTATTGGACTTGTGACTACATTAGAGCAGGCTTGATCATAATAGGAACTTGTATATATTAGCACATTTAAACATTATGTTCACTATTGTAGGCCAGAGAGCTGTTTGAGAAAGTATGTCCTGGAGAAGAGTTCTGCCCTAAGGCACCAAACCCTGAAGACATCATTTTTGACTTCGGAGAAAACAAAGAGGGCACAACTGAAAGTGGCTTCGAGCCACCAAAAGAGGGATTTGAAATCAAAGATGGTGATACTAAAGTATCAAATGATGCAGTTGAGGAAAGTGTGGCTGTTGGAAATGACTCGGAAAAGACTGAAGATCAAACAATCAATGACAGTACAAATGTAACTAATGCCACAACTGACAAACCAGACTATGAGACAACTACAGAGAGCTAACAATAATTTAAGAACACCTTAGAAAAATTGCTACACAAAATTTAAAAAAATACTTGATAAATTATTATGTTTTTGCAAAGTGTTAGATTAATTACTATATAATAGGTGTATACTATTATAAAGAGGTAGATCACACTTGCAGTATATTGGAATTCTACATATAAATTAAGGTCAGGGTGCACTTCAATGAAATTTCATGACCATGTGCTATTTTTTTTCAGATAAACATAATTCATTCCACACAGCATCTACGAGTACATCTTTCATTCTTGCACAAAAGATGCATTAGTGTACCTTGACTATTAATTGAGGGTTGATAATTCTTCAGAATATTTTAATAACTAAAATATTCAGTGATTTACTTTTCGAAATTGCAAAAAAATTCCAACATGCACCCTGGCCATAATCCTTATTGAAAGATGGAGAGTAAAGTCTTGACTTTGCCTCTAGAGAGAGAGAGTGAGCTTTGTTGTCATAGGGACTATTAGATTAACGGAGACTTAAGACATAGTCTTCAATTTTATTTTGAACAGATCTGGGTCTAATTATTTCAAGATGTAACTATCCTACAAAAAAGGTCCACCAATCCATATGATCCAGTAGTCTTCATTTAATCCCAAGGCCTATGGATCTTCCCCGGATCAAAGAGATCAATCTAGAATCAATGAACATTTACTTCACTTTGCAAATCCATGTGATTTTATCGACCAACATTTCAATATTTGGCATTTTTACATTTGATACTTGGGATTATACACCTGGGTGTGAATAGTCACCACCTGACCAGCGTTTATATCAATATTCTGTGTCCCTGGGATAAACTGATTGTTTGTAAATGGATTTGTGTATAATTTATTCAGAGTGAAATAAATGAATGTAATTGAGAGGCTGATTGGTTTGTGTATTTGCTTGCTTTTTATCCCATCGAAGCACCCACTTTCCTCTCAAATAGTTGCTTAAATAACTAACTTCAGCATTATGCACCATTCAAAGGTTTGCATGAGACACTGATGTGGTGAGGTTCGGGGATTTAACACTCAGTATTGTCCAAAAGTGTGGGATTTTGACATAGTACTTCATCCTGGGACTTTTGAAAGCATATTTTTGGAATTTTGACTTTAATATATTTGACTATTTATTATTGCTCTATGAGTGGGAAAAATGCCAAACATTAGTTTGCTCCCAGAATTTGGTAGCCCACTTAAATATATTTGTCAAAATCCCCATCTCTTCCAATGTAGGAGGCCTCGAACAAACCTTTGAATGATACATTATGGGTGCATGAGAAAATGCAACATATACATCTTAAACTGGTGAGTACAGGGTGTCCCCAAATTGTTTCAATATTTGTGAGTTGAACCATGATACTTGGCAAATGAATGTAACTTTGTATAAGCTTTAAAATGATATATGACACATACTATGAAGACATCGGTATATGGATCTGTCTGGGGGGGGTCCCATACTTTCGGGACACCCTGTATATAAAGCAACATGTAGAACAATTTAGTGCCTTTATCTCAATAACTGAAACAACTTTGCATATTTTTCACTTACCATATCAACAAAATACACAAAAACAATTAAGCAAGATAAAATGTTTATTCTATTAAATGATGTCATAAAATAAACAATATGTGAATATACCAGTACATGAAAAACATGCAATAAATAATAATTCAATCCAAATACAAATACACAGCCTTTTATAATTTGTATTTTACAATAGCCCTGTGATAAAGTAGCCACACTTTCATCTATACTATTTTTGAGAGTGAGTGGGGTAATAAGTACAGTGAAACCTTTAAAGTGCAACACCTCAGAAGTCGAACACCTCTGTTGGAGTCCCAGGATCAATTGCCTTAATGTTAAATGAACCTCTACGTGGAAACCCCCCCCAACTGGAACACCTTTTAGAGGTACCAAAGGTGTTACACTTAGACAGGTTTTATAAATGCTATCCAACCCCATAGTACACTTCTCTCTAGGGTTTGGCAGCCCATATTCAACCAAACAATGTGTTAAAACCTGATTTTGCCATACATTTAAAACAAGGCATTAACATGCAAAATGTCACCACCTGCCATTTGTTACAGAAATCAAACACCAACATCTGGAGGCCATGCCAAACACCAATGACCAAACACCAACAGCCAAACAGCATACACAAAAATATTTGAAGATTAACAATATGTCATACAACTTTCTAGCGGTGACATAAAAATCATCATATTGGATCAATTGTAAGTTTAACAGAGAGAAAAATTTAAAACCAAACAGGAACAGATTTTAACATGCTATCCAATGGGAAATCATGGTTCTCAAACTTATGTCGGGAGTGTACATACATAGATTAATTCAAGCAAAGTAAAATTTATGTAAGTGGAATACCTTTGGTAGCCCCAAAAAGTATTCCACTTGGGTGATGTTAAAATAACTGAGGTTCATTTAACATTTTTCGTCAACTTCATATAATAGGACTCTGAAGTGTTCCACTTACAGAGGTGTACCACTTTACAGGTTTTAGTGTACTTCCAATTCATGTAGACAGAAGGGGAAAGAAATACTAACTTGATAGTGTAATATACACAGCCAATATAATTCGACGCCGTTTCGGCATCGAAAAAATTCGGCACTGTTCCGGCACCGTTTCGACACCATTCCGGCACCGAAACCTTTCGACACCAAATTTTGTTACCGAAATTTGGCACCGAAACGGCGTCGAAAATCAGATTGCATTTTGGGGGTGTAATAGATACAGTCCCCTTATAAAGTATTTCACCATTCAATTTATACAAACATGGAACATCATATGTATTGTATGGTGTATGGCAAATAAATCACTTAAGTACTTCAAACTCAGCAATGGTATCAAAAATCATATTTCATAAAGTACTGAAGTAAAACTATCAAGTGGAACACCTTTGTAAGTGGAACACCTTTGTAAATGGAACACCTCACAAGTGGAAGTGAAGGAGTACTCTTTGGTTCAAAGGGGGTTCCACCCTCACAGGTTTTACTAAATACTTTTCAGTGAGAAAAACCTGTTGTTAAATTGCGTCTTTTATATTTTGAACAATATTGATGTTTATAGTTATTTTAACACAAACACACACATGGAACACTAGTCAAATATCAACACATCTAACATTTTAGGGACAAAAAATAAAAATAATCTCAAATTAAAAATGAATATTTTCATTATATAATGCAGTCAATCATCTTCAATCTCATTCTGTTATTCATCACATTTTTCTGTTTTCAAACTAGCAAGGATTTGATAGATGACTGCGTTCTCTTACACGTGCCGACATGATCTTAGTAAATACTACAATTTCTAAAATAGAAGGTTATATAGACTAGTTCACTATTTATACCCTAAATATACATGTACTTTGATTATTCCATTTTCTATGGCAACCATTGACACATTCTTTTATTACCTCAAAAAAATCAAAATCTCATTCTAAATTACCTCAAAATATATTCAATTCACCTTGCACCATCAATTGACTTTGGGATACCCTTTTGTGGAATTATCAAACCTTGATTCCTGTAAAGCATCGCTCATGTATAAAGTGAATCAATTGCCTTTTAATAGTTAAAAAAGATAGTAAAATTCAATTTGGTACTTGTATGCTACTGATTGGATAGTCAGTTTTTTTCAAGCTCTGATATTTTCAAAAAAAATATGTTTATACCAGTCTATTGATGATGCAATTTACATAGCATTATAAATTAAAAATTTAGAATTATTTAGGATTGCTGTTGAATTACAAACAGTCTTTTACATCTAAAATACACTGAATATCTTATGTAGATTTTGTCTTAAGCTTGTAGATGATTGGATATGGGGGTTCACTCTTTTAAATCATAAGTACATGCCTAATTAAGTACATAGTGCACAACTGAGCACACAGTCTAGAAAATAAAGATAAATTGCTTATCTACAAAATTCATGATTCCTCATCATTTCTTATTTACCTTGGCATTACTGTATTAATGAAAATAAACTTTGACATCAGTATGTGAAAAAATATGAACTCTCGAACCTTAAAAATGAGTAAAACAACATTGTGTCAATACTACAATGTAAATTTACAATGCTAATAACAACACAAACATTTCTAAGTCTAACCTGTTAAGACCCAGATTGAATAATTCTGTTCACCAGAATTAAAAAGATTTGACAAGCCAGTCTATTCTGATTTTGCCATTTTCCTGTTGTCTTAATTAAGGTGGGACAAGGTTCATCAGTTATCCTCATGCTAATGAACTAGGTCTCACCTTAAAAATTATGGTATGCTTGATATGAAATAATAACAAAGGCCTATCGCAAAAAATGTTCATTGACTTTTTCTATAATATCTTATATGAAACAAAAGAGAATTTTAGATTTGAGAATTTCTTGGCAATAAGTATGTACCCTTTTTTACTGTGACCCTTTTAAAGTGGCCTTAATTAACCTAACTGCGTAATACCTGAAAAACCCCTCTAATGCCTAGGTCACATTTGCCTCGATTCATCGGCCGGGCGCCTGGCCGATTGCAGTACTTTGTTCAAAACTGATTTCAACTTGCCTCAAATTGACCAAACTTTTTTTTAAAATCATGTACAAGTTCTCAGGAGTTCACATCTGACCTCAAATTTGAGATTTGACCCTAAATTTTGAACAAAATACTCCATCTGCCAGGCGTCGGCCGATAAATCAGAGCAAATGTGACCCAGGCATTAGTAAACTGTAAATTGGAAACATACAAATAAAAACAGTACATGAATTTCCAACAAATAATCATTCTTGTGTCCCTTAGCAGCTTTGAGGAAACCATTTTGTCCCCTAAATCACCTTCTTTATTCCTATGGCAGATTGTTTTGGGAGTTATTTTCAGCTTTGGTTCTCAATCGTAACCTCTGACAAACTTCCAGTTTTAGTTTTCTCCAGATAAAGATCAACAAGAAAAATCATGGTTATTTAAAAAAAGGGATATTTCATGACACATTTATTTTTGACAAAGATGAATATGTGTTAGTAGGTCAAGAAAATTCTGAAATGAGAGCAGATGCTTAAAATATTCAACAAAAAGTAAAATAATCCTGTTTGTTAACTGTTTAAAATGCATCCTAATTCTTAAAATATTGTTCTCATATTTTCTCAATAAGCAAAGGAAAATCCTTCTTTGTCAAAAATCAATAAACCATGAAATATAGCATTTTAGAAAAAAAGCTTAAATTTCAACCTGTTGACTAAACACGATGAAAACTAAAATGGTAAAAAAATTTAGTCCAGGACTTCAAGCTGAGTATAACTCCTAAGATCATCCTCTACCGAAATCAAAAAGGTGATTTTGGATACTCAAGTAAATATGAAAAGTTAAATAAGATCTTTCACACATTGAATGGAGCAAATACCATAGAGTACTTCCATGACCATTTAACCTTCGGTGAATTTCCAATGGCAACCACTAGGAATGTCACATCACCGGGCAACAGGTGCTTTTCCACAGGCATCTCAGATGTAATTTCCATATTTTCTGTTTTTAAACTAAATCCGATATTAAATCCTTTATCGTTACAGCTGTTGTAGATCTCAAAATTTGCACCCTGTTTGTATCGTCGTGTTATAACGTGAAGACATTTCCCCGATATTTCCTCTGGGGTAAAGATCTCACTCTCAGTTTGTAAAATATATGGCGGTGATGATAATATGGCAGAAAAATCTTGTGATTTGATTGGTTGAGCCTGATTGATGTCACAAATACAAAGTGGTAACTTAACATCTGTATCAGCACATTTTGAGAAATGACTATATTTGGACATTCGCTCAAATGTTAAAAGCTCCATAGTGAAGTTACTAGAGTGTTTTGTTTTCACTGCTACAAAAAATACTTCTTCAAATTGCGGACCTTTAATGTTAAGGTCAAACTTTGTTATTTTTGAGCGGTCCTGAAAAACAAGAAGTAACATTATATGGAATTTATTTATTTTATTAAGGATCAAACCAGCTCAATTACTCAGATGCGAGTAAGTAGTTACAAGTTTCGCCACCAGGTGGCTACCTCGGTGGAAATAACATGGCAGGGTAGGCTATTACAAAGTTCCCTTAAACTTGAATTTTCATCGGTTTTAGTGGTTCACTTCTCATAGTACCCTTAAGTATCTGATAGTTGTACAAATTAAAATATGTCCATTAAAAGAAATTAGCATCTGCGCAACACAAGAAAAGATATTTCATTTTTCGTGAGTTTACAACATGGGGTCTATGGGGAATCTCCCCGACCTAGAAGTCACATTTTTAAAAAAAATTGAATTTTCAAAGTTGATGAACTCTTTTCAAAACCACATTTCTACATGTAATTTTACATGTAGATTCCAAATATAACATCAGTTTGACTGAATTTTTAATGACATAAATCAAGATTATTTCTACTCGCATCTAGTCTATTATGTATGAGTTACTGAATTGCAAAAAACAGAGATTTGCTGACCTATAATTGTGGAAACACACACTACTATACCTAACACCTAGAAATGCATAAGATACTCTGTTTGTCAAATTGTATTGTTTAGTATATTTTTGAAAGTGCCTTAGTAACATCTAACATTCAACCGATAAACCATTAATAAGGAACAGACAAATAAAAACAAATACATAATGATTACTAATAAGCCAAATGGGTTGCTCATGAACCTTAAATGCAAGGTATAGTAGAGTGAAACAGATTTGTTTGAGATCTTAGCGTCTCTCAATGTAATACTTTACATCCTCAAAAAGTTAAATAACCAATATTAACTCCTTAATTAGCACTAATAAAGATGCCCAAAATGGAACAAATTATATTTCAGCCCCCTCTCACAAAAATAGAACTGAGCACACCTTTAATAAAATTAACAAAATATGATAGTATCTCACCTCTCCCAAATAATTATACATGTAGTTTAAGTTATCGAATGTGTTGAATTTAAATATATAGTTGAATTTCTGCAAAGCACCTTATTGAACTAGTTTCTACTAGGAGAGAGTGATTGGGAATCAAACATAAATACTAACCTTTTCATGGCTTTCTTTGACATTAGTAAAACTATGGGCCACAAGCCTCTGGCAGGCCCCAAATCCAGATTTTGCATGGGGATGCCCTGCCCTGTATTGCTTGGAGATTACATTGTTCAGCTCTCCCAAGGCAAACTCTGCTAGGAGAATGTGCGATGAGTCATTAGCCACTGTAGATTCATACCCCTGGCAGATGCACATATTAGGTCGAAGCATGGGGAGATCACTGCAGGATCTATTGGCTGATATCGGAGAAAACAACCCAGAAGGATTCACGGAAAAATTTTCTCTGATTTTAGTTTTTTCAGGATTGTCTGTTAAGGGTGATACCAACGATAGGATATACTGTAACATGTAATGTAAATCTAACATGGTGATAAGCTTGTCTTGATTGGAATATAAAGCTTTCATTTTTGTAGGGCCGATTATTTTTGCGACAGTATCTGGTATTATCATAAATAAGCTAGGATGAAACATCTCAACTCGCCCTTCTGCTGATTGGTCGAGAAATTGACCATATGCATTGCCATGATCAGCTACGATGATAGATAGAGTATTTTGCTGGGTGACCAAGAAGTCAACGTAACGACTGAGATGTTCGTCTAAAGTTTGAACCCTGCGTTGAGTGTCCTCATGGGCGATATTATTATTCCAAAATATCACATGAGGTGATTTGTCTTTACTTAAGTACGATTGATACATTGTCAGATACTCCAATATATATTCATGTTGGAATTTTCCATTGAAGCATAGTACATCTGGACCATGAAATGGATCAGGGTGTTCACCGAGTTGTAAAATTTCACAGCTTGCATGAGTGAGATCCAATGCATCAATGCCAGATTTTTCTAAAACTTTCTGTAAATTCCTCCATTTGACATCATGCGGGATGGATTTATTGTGAACCCGTAGATTTTTTGTAATCCCCCATTCCCATTCCCAGCACAGGTCTTCCAACCATAGTGTCTGGTATCCAGCATTCTTAAATGGCACAAATAAGTCTTCTGTTTTCAATGGTCTGGGGGGTAAATCCAGAACAGCGAATGGCTTTTCCTCTAAATAAACTTCCCCGGAAAAAAGAGCCTGTAAAGACTCATAAGTCCTTGATTTTATTGCTTGCATTTTGCGGAAATCCAACACATTTGCTGGTATGCTTCTATGAATGTTAATGTGATTAAACTTTTTTATCGTCTTCGGTAAAGACCGATAAAAGTGATTATGAGACACTGAATCAAGAAGCATAATGTTTAAATTAATACGATTAATTGGAGATTCTTTATTTTGAGGGGTTGGCATATGTTTTGAGTTCAAATACAACTGAGGGGGAAGAACAAGAAGCTGATATGTATATTGACTCCAATCTGTATCATAATTTTCATCAAAATATTCTACATGTTCGCCATCGTTTGGTTTACATCTTATGTAGCAATACCCATAGTGTCGCTTTGTATAGCTTTGTGATGTCATTTTAAGTAGTTTAATCTCGATGTCTGCAATATTGTTGTGGCGTTCCCATATAAGTTCACCGGTATCTTCATTAACTGAACCAAGTTCATGGGGGGCAGCACATTTGCTTCCATCACATGATACAGTGGTGCCATCTTTAGGTGACACCTGGAAGTAAGAAGACAAATTACACTTTTCTGTCAAGCTGGCTCCCTTTATTGATGTTTATCACTCCCACATGTGATACAATAAAACAAATATTTCATTATATTTTCAATGAATGTCTGTGGAACTTTCAAATATAACTTTGACAAATCAGACTTCATTTTTAAAAACAAGAACATACACTGTAGTTTAGTAAAATCATGGGCATTCAGTAGTCTATTGAAAGCCCATGGTAAAATACATTTATATGATCTTAGAGGCAATGCAAAACAAAGCTAAATAGTCTTTATTCAAAATGTTATGTCATCATCATCTTTTGAAAGGTAAAATATGAATGACAACATGTGTTTTAAGGAAATGGTTGTAGTTACCTGTAATTTGCATATTTCATGATGGGTTTGATGTTCACAGGTATCTGGTGGTTTGCTCCTAAATAGTTCATTTGCAATATTACACGAACCCTTCAATGGCTTGATTCGTCTACACTGAGCCATATTTTTAGTAGCACCATGTAAACGAGTCATGGGACAAATTTCATCACCAGATCGTAAAGTACTTGCGGTAGTATGTGGTTGTTTATCTTCCCGACTACTTCCACCTTGGTTGTGGGATGTAGGTTTAATAGCGGCATATCCAAAACTTGATATATCTAGCTGAGCTGCATCTTCACGTAGTTTGATAATTACTGGTTCAAAATTTATGTAAACCATGTAGCAGATGAATATGCTTCCAAGCCATTTTAATATCAGTGTCTTGTTACGTTTGAAGATTGCCCCCATTTCTGACATTTTTCACAATAATCTGATTCCAGAATCAAATGACGTTTTCAGCATTCTGATAACTTGGGTGTAGGACTCATAATTTTATACATCTGGGTGGAAATCATCGTCATCCTGAAAATATTGACATGTTATTTGTTGAGTGGTATTATGTACGCATGAACAGAACAATATAATCAATATATTACGATGTGGAAACATCAGTATTTTTATAGCCTGAGTTTAATTACAAAAAGATATTGATAGAAATACAATCAAATTACGCTTATGAGGAACATCTCAAAATACATTATAAGTATTTATCGATATCTACTCGATTTACAGTGCCAATTATCAACTGAGATGAAGCAAAATTTTGAAATTTTGAAACATATAGAAGGAGTATAATTATTAGAGAGTGTCTTAATAAGTATTAGACTACTGATTACCTAGTATTACATGTGGACGCTTAGCCCGGGGGTCACTTTGTACAAAATTTGGAGGGGGACCAATGCCATATACCAAATGTCTCAATATAGGACCAAAGCCATACCAATGCTATGACTGGTCCAAAGTATAATACATCCCGGGAAAAAGCTAATATTTAAACTGAAGAAGGTCCCAAGAAGAACAACCTCAAATTAAGGATATGTGTAACTACTAGACCAATGCCATACACAAGTGTGAGATAACTATTTTCCATGACCATTCTCATACAAGAAAGTGGAAAAATCTGATCATTGCCATAACCAAAAAGTCATAATGTGGGTGCAATCTCATACCAGATCCCAAAATGTGGGTCCATTGCCATACCAAATGTCAAAAAAGATACATGTACCCCATGTGTGCAGAGGATCCCCGTCAAGGTTTATACAATGAACCCCGGGACGCTTAGTTACAAATGCCTAGCTTCATTTATTGCAAAACCAATGTAATTATAGGGGGGTACTCCCATATATTGGGTATATGAGGACGTGCCGCTAAAGTGGGTCACTTTTTCACCAACCGAAAAACTCCTAGAAGTGGGTCCCATTTTGGAGAAAAAACCCTCGATATGAGCTAGTTCAACAAGTTAAACCTAGTCTGGGCCTTATTTCTTATCTGACATTTCTTGTGGCCCGCCCTAGGTTTAACATCCGTGCCTATTCGGCCCTTGATGCAAAAAATTTTAATGATGGCCTACAGTTGGGGACAAAAATAAATGACAGGTCGATTTTCGATCACCATTTCCTAATTATGGTGGTCTGAAAGCCCATAATTTCCAATATTGTCTAGATATATATCCCTTAAAATTTGTATATTTTACATTTTGTATAATCTCATCCACTGATTTATGGCCTCTTGTAAATTCTCTTATTTTTAACATGGGAAATCCTCACTTCAGCAAATCCACCTGTCATTTATTTATGTCCCCAACTGTATGGCAGCGCATAGAATTTTATGCGCGTTTTATTAATAACTGATAGTGAGAATTTGCAACCAATGAAAGCATAGCACGGAAGTTAAACCCAAAAACGGCAACAAGAACACTCAGATTATAAATGAAAGCCGTGGTCTTGTTGAACTAGATATGAGCCTGATATTGGTCCTATTTGATGAAAATATCTCTTAACCAGCAGCACGCCCTTGTACAAAGAGTTGACCAGTGCCCCAGGGTGCCCATTACAACAGTCTCCATCATCAAAGCTTGCACTTGGAAGTTCACAATCACATTCACATGCAGCACCTCCACCTAGTCTAGGTTGAAGAATAAATCAAAACAAAATGTACAAAATCTAAACTAGACTATTTCATTAGTCTAATTCTTGATAATATATTTACCTAATATGGTGTTCTTTTACGGGCTTATTCGTGTAAAACTGGAAGAATTCGTAAAGTTTATTGATTATTTCATTTTTCTAATATTTTCCGAGTAATTTTGTTACACGTATTTCTATTGGTTGAAAATTTTTGACACCAAGATAAACCAATCGAATTCGTTGTTTCATTCTACTTCGGACAACTTGGGTGTTGGCTTCCAAAGTTTTAAACTTTATTTTGATTTTCATAACCCCATTAGGATTATAATTACTCATGATATACTGATTCACATGGCTCCAATTCACAGATATTTCCAAACTGATATTGGCTGGTACGTATATAATGATTTATTTGTAACTTTGTTGAGAGATCTCACCAGACTAGATCTAAAAGTACAGTTTGTTCATTCATCATTGATTGAAATGAGGACACATGGTTTATTTAGATGCAGTAGAAGTGATTTTTAAAATTATTAAGGGATCACAAGCACAATTCGAATAGCCCCCCTGATATTTTTGTGTTATTTGATGTAAAACAAGTTTGTCTCTCAACTTACCAACTTTGAGGATCGATTAACAGGCAAGCATGCAAATCGTAATTCACTTATAATCTTATAAACTAGATCTATAATTCTGATTTGTTAGGTAACTCTGCAAGACTGGTGAGAAGATTTTTTTGTAAAATGTATAAAAAACGAGAACATTTCTCACTGAATTTTTTTCGTTTTTTATATTTTAAACAGGCAATATGCCTATTTTTGAAGAGAAAAGGGATAAAATATTATTTGAGACATGTACACACTAATCAAATATGATAAAATCTTTATTTGGGATAATCACAGGTAGGGATCAGATCGCACCTTCGCGTCCATACCGCTGTTTTCCGTACAGGTTGCCGCTCCTTCGAGTAGATAATCGGCAGAATTTACGAATACAAAGGCTCTATCTTTTAATTCAGTCAACCTAGCCCTTTCTTCATAGTATATTCAGTTAGAGGAATGTGTTTCATATCATCTACGTTTTTAAGGGTACTTACATATGTCTAGGTTGCTCGTAGGACAGCACACAAATTACCCCCTGACATCCATCATTTCAGTTAAGTACGTTTTTCTTGGATTTGGGGTCATTTTTGTTCCTTCACACCTCGTCCAACGTAAAATTTGATTGATTTTACTGTTTAAATGGCTAAATGTATAAGAATATATACCTGTTATACCAGCATTGTTTCGACTTTACAGTTTCTGTCAAATTCCGCCGTTTTCGTTTTTGGATTACGCACCTTAATCGTATTTTGGTTTCAGTTAGGTAGAACTCTCCTTTTATTCAGATTAATGTTAAATTGGCAAAGTTCAGATCACAGAGAACTATTTACACGTGATTTGTGTCGTTTTTAGAGTTCTTTCAAAAACGATACAAACGATACAAATCATAGTCTATGTAAATAGATTAGAATTTCTCAAATCGCAGCCCATCGATTTTTAAAGAATTGCAATAAAATAAGCAGAACTTCTCTCCTTTATGTCGTAAACATTTAAACAAAGAGGCCACGAAAATCAAAACCTCTGCTGTCCTGGTTGGTTAAAGTGCAAAAACGTCGTCACATTTATGTTATTGAGCCAAATTACCGGGGCCCACAAACAATTGTGTGCCCAAAATTTTTGCAGTGGGCCTTTTTAGGTCAAATTATCAAAAATGGGCATTCAAAGTTTTTGGATTTGAAATGTACACCCCCCCTTGTTAACTTCTGGATTCGCCAGTGGTTATGATCACAAATCTACAAGTTATTCTTTACTCTCTCTCGCGAATAGGCCTACGGGCGTTTATTTTGCACAGGGCGTTTATTTGAAAGAATTTTTAATAAACGCCCATGGGCCTATATTAAGAGGGAGAAAACAATTTTCCAAGGAGGATAGGCGTTTATTTAGAGGAATAGCTAGGGGGATATTATCGATTGTATAGTTGACACATGGCCTTCATACTCACGCACTAGTATGATCACGAACGTGGGCAAAAACGTTGACCAATATGTGACCTCATTTTTATTTATCATTTGTACTTGAACGACATTAATCACGTATTACCTTACATATGTACTATTCGCAATTTCATCCCTTTTCTCGAATGTTTTGCCAACTGGGCATTTATTTGAAATAATTTTTAATAAACAAATTTATATTGGAAAGTTAATCCAATAGCCAGCCAATTTACCTTGAAGGTGTGAAATATATGAATAGCATCGTGAATAGCCCTATTAAGATAGGCTAGGCTTATTCTGTTAAAACTATACTCATATTAATCACATATTATTTTGGTAAATAAATGTCATATTCATAAAAATTATAAATTGTTAAATTAAAAGTGTTTAGCATAAACTTCTCTAGATAAAACCAATATGATTTAATCTTTTAGAATTAATTCACCTAACTTTTTTACAATCAATAAATTCAGAAAATTACTTAACATTTCCGATTTATATCTAGTTTCTAATTTATCCCTGATAGATGGCAGTGTAATGGAATAAGAACCCTGCAAAATCGTGTGAAAAGATTGCTATATTGTAAGTCTATAGACACACCTAGGACGCTTGTATTCTAATGTGAATGTGTATGAATATATACGGATTCTACTACTGACTCAGGATTATGTCAAAAGTCAAAGAACAGTCGAAGCTCACGAGCTTCATCACAAGCACCCCAGTCTCCGAAAATCAAAATGGCGGATCTAGGAATGAATCTGTCAAGGCTGGCAATAAACGCACAATATTGGACCGTAGTGGACCTCAGGAAGAGGCCCCCGTCAACAGACAGCGTCTAGATGAAACGGAACACATTTCGTCCGAATTCCTGGTTACCGAACCCTCTAACGAACTGGCTCAAAACGGCGAGGGTCTTGGGGATAATGTCGATGATGATGACGTCATCATGTCCAATGACTGTCTAAAAAAATGGATTGTTTCAATGTTTACGAAATTTGACTCTCGCTGGCAGAAAGTCTCTGATCGAATGAGCTCCATTGAAGTCGAAAATAAAAATCTCAAGGAGAAAGTTATCCTGTTGGATGCTAAGACTAAGAAACTAGAGGTGAGACTTAACGAAATAACCCTTGAGACAAATCATAACAATCAATACTCACGTAAAAATAATGTAAACATCTTTGGATTGCCTGAAGCCCAAGGGGCTGAGGAAACAGCCGCACAATGTGCTGATCTTGTCGTTTCCAACCTGAATGAGAACAATGTTCCCATTCAGCGTTCTATGATTGAGGTGGCACATAGAGTCCCTGGTAGGTCGAGACCTGGGCAAACTGGACCAAGGAAGATGATAGTCCGCTTCAAGTTCCGGGCAGACAAGGACCTCGTAATGCGTCACAAAAAAGAACTAAAAGGGACTGATATACGAGTATACGAAGACGCAAGTCCTCTCAACAGCAAGCTGCTGTACGACCTCAGAAAAAACCAAAGAATTGACAGTAGCTGGATGTCGAATGGTAAAGTTTTCGGTAAAATCAAACAGTCTGGCCACATTAAACAATTCAATATACTTGATTCTGTGGACGAGATAATTGATCTCGATGAATAACTCTGAAATCCGCAACCAAATGACGGATAATGACATTCATGTATATAAAACTTCTCTATAACCCCTTGGCTTAAACTGGTCGCCAATGGTTAAATTGCAAGTTATTTTGTTTAATCTTGATTGAGTTGGTATATTTGAGTATCTGGCTAACGCCCCAGCACATCTTAATGTGAATTTAATTCAATTTTCATTATAAATAGACTGTATAAACATGATCCACTTCGTGTCACTTTTTCTTCTGCTTTGTTTTGACACGTGACCAGTACACTTCAGAGTACACTTGTTGACCTCACTTCACAAGGTCAAATACAACTTCCGGTTTCTATATTTTAAAAAACCTAGCGAAATTCATACAGTTTCTGTCTCCTCTCAAGCTATGCTGGTCAACAGGTAGGTTTTAACCTGTGATTTATGTTCTAATTTTGTAATATAATCACAATTGCTAACGGGAATCAGGCTGCTAGTGTCTTAACTTGCAAAATCAACCGACGACATTGATTTCTAAAAGTATTTTTGTGACTCTGGAATGTTGTTGAATCTGAGCGCGATTTCAACCTGTCTTACACTCTCAATGTTCTTACAGTATTGACATTAGCAATTTTTATATTGGGACAGATATACCCATGCTATTTTTGGTACCTGCATCCTAGCTGCACCCCACATTCTATTCTGTGCAAGCCTGATTGCCATTAAGCAAGTTTGAATAGTACAATTCCTGTAACTCAGTACCTGTACATGTACATACTAGTCTGCACAGTTAGTGGACACTTGTTCTTACTTTAAGGGATTAGATATTGTTTACGTTTCTTCCTAAATAGATATCCTACTCAAGGATCTATGGAGCATCGATAAATGAACAGATGTTCATTGGGTCATTTTTTTCTCTTCTAAACTTGATACAGAATGTACTTTATATGTAAATGCATATTAGTAATAGTTAGTTTTAAAAAACTTCTGGCAGCTGTCAAAAAAGTATATTGATTTGATGGACTAACCCGGGTTATAACCTTTTTATCTTTCTCAAGTGTTTTAGGAGGGATTAGGTCATTCTTCCCTCATTAATATGTCACCACCAAAAAGTGGTGACTTACTGTTCTGGTCTCCATTCTTTTTCTTGATTAAAATCTGATTTAAGGTTCCATATCTGGGAACTAGGTGGTGGCATCTATGCATATTATATTTAAACTTGGGTTAGTTGTTCATACATGTAGCATTACTTCTCTAGACTGCTGGCAATAAGTATAATGGCCCAGTGAGCAAGCCTGGTTTATAATCTTTTATTGCTCATCCAGAACTTAAGCTTGAGAGAGACGTGCTCACCTGCACACAATATATGACTTGTTTCTTCGATTATTACTGTTTGTTAGAACTTACATGTATTGTATGCAATGACAGTATTACATTGTAATGTACATATGTCTTAAAGACTTAATCTGATTCTAAGTTTTTGTTGATATCATCTATGCTTCAGCAATCTGCTCACATGGTTTTTGCTCATTACACATATAAATCCAAATCAAACTATCACTGACATGAAGACAGTA